ACCTGAAGGAAAAGCCCTTCACAGAGTACCAGACCAGCCCTAACTTTGACAAATTCCTGCAGTGGAAAGAGTACGAGAAACAGAAAATCACTGATAAGTATTTCCATGAGTTCAGGACCCTGGGAAAGGGAGGCTTTGGAGAGGTAAGTCCACACAAAGTTTAAAGTGCAGCTGCCTAACTGACAAAAGTAGTGAAATATTACAGTTCTAAAATGTAAACTTGAACACTGTTTTAGCACTGTTTCTAAGGGTACGCAACAGTTACAGTGAGAATGGGGATGGTACAAATGATAAGGGATGATAAAGAAGTCACTAAAAGGGATAATTGTTTGTACCTCATCTAACTACATACTGCCCAGCTAACACATTTGGTTCCTTGAAAGTTGTGGGAATGTAACGTTTTTGGTTTCCAATTGGTTCTGGCAACGAAGCCATACGTTTTCTGACCGGTAAAACTGAATGTTTTTTTCAAATGTTCTGAGAACGGAATGAAAAATTTCACCTCTTCTGGGAACGTACATTTGTAGGTTGCAGGGAGTTTCTGAGAATGTTTTACTATGGTTCCCTGAAAGTTTTCCTGGGAGGTTTTATTAATGTTCTGAGAACATATTTCAATAAGACATTTAATAACACTATTAGCTTAGTTTGGGTTAACTGTTTTGAACTCCAAGCACAGATGGGACACATGGAAATGCCTTTGCTTAGGTGTTTTTTTTTATTGTGGCACGGCATCAGTGAGATTCTTTTGTTCTCTGTCCATGGAATTAGTCCACTGTGCCACCAGGATGGAGCTAGCATGCCATGTTTTTTTTACTCATACAAAGCTGTCAATTTAAGCCTATTCAAAGATACCCCATTTCAAATGAAACAGGCACTCATTAAGATCAGGTGTGGCCAATTAGTGGGCACGGGCAACACACATAACAAGATAGAGGATAGAGTTTTGTTGATACTGAGAATGGAACTTATATGTTTTTAAATAACATTCTTAGAATGTTCTCTGAACATTACTAACATTTCCTTGTGGTTTTTATGAAAAGTTTGAGAACATGACTTTAAATAGAACCATGAGGAAACCTGTAGGAAACGTTATGCTGTATTACTGAAATTCCAACAGAGGATCATTGTTTCTTAACGTTCTCAGAACAATGTGAGAACATTACTTTAAATAGAACCATGAGGAAACCTGTAGGAAAAATTATGTTGAAGTACTAAAATTCACACAGGAGAACGTTGTTTCTTAACGTTCTCTGAACTATTTGAGAACATTCCCAATGTCAAACCAGTTGGAGAATGTTCCTAAAACATTACCAACATTTTAATGAAACATTCTGGTAAAGTAATGAAATATATTTTTGGTCAAGTTCCTTAAAGTTCGACTTTGGGCAAAAACGCAATAATAACGTCTTTTAAACTGTAAAACTGATCAATGCACCATCCTACCAAGTCATTTAAAGCTTAAAAACAAAATGGATGTATAAGATATTTGGCTACAGAAATGCAATTTCTTACCAATCTCTAAAACTTCCGTCCAAAAACAAATCCTGTGAAATGACATCAACACATACTGGAGGAGTTCCTGGCTAGCTAAAGTGGCTTGCTTAGCTAACGAACTAGCTATGTCGGTCACGGCGTACATGACCAGAATGACATATCGACGAACCATCGATGGCACACCCCATTTCTGTTTAAACATTTAGAAAGGGTGGAGTTGGACCATTTGTCGTGCCCAAAGTCAACCATTAAATGTGCTGAGAATGTTCCAAAGCCAAGCAACTATCCTGCACCATTCCCAGAAAGTTGTGGGAAGGTTGTATGCTAAATAACCATAGGACAATCACGCTCTCACCAAGCTCTAAGAAACATGTGGTTCTCAGAATGTTTTGTCCTACCTGGGTTACGTGCTAGCTGGGGGATCTTATCATACATTTATCAGACGTATTAGTTTCAGTCCCTCTCTCTGCATAGGTGTGTGCTGTGCAGGTGAAGAACTCAGGCCAGATGTACGCCTGCAAAAAGCTGTGCAAGAAGCGTCTGAAGCAGAAGAATGGTGAAGGCATGGCGCTACTGGAGAAGCAGATCCTGGAGAAGGTCAACAGCCTGTTCCTGGTCAACCTGTCCTATGCCTACGACACCAAGACCCACCTGTGCCTCGTCATGACCCTGATGAATGGCGGCGACCTCAGGTACCACATCTACAACATTGGCGAAAAAGGCCTCGAAATAGACCGCATCAATTACTACATTGCACAGGTCACCACAGGAATCCTCCACCTGCACGCCATGGATATAGCGTACAGAGACATGAAGCCAGAGAACGTGCTACTGGACAGCTTCGGCCAATGTCGACTCTCGGATCTGGGGTTGGCCGTGGAGCTGCCTAGCGAAAAGACCATCAATCAAAAGGTAAGGGCTCTGATAGGCTGAGATAAACTCCTCGTCCTTGTTGTTTAATGACTATACGTTAACAACAATGATTGAGTTGTTTTTAGAGTTAGGGTGAGATGACATGGTATTTCATGTGAGATTACATGGTATTATGGATAAGGATATATCTATGGATAGGGATCTATCCATAATACAAGGGTTTTACATCATTACCATCCCACTGGGCACAAACCTGTTGAATCAACGTTGTTTCAACATAATTTGTCAACCTATTTTGATGTGGAATCTACGTGGAAAATACAATGGATTTGAAAAAACTAATCAATGTAAACTGTTGTTTTGAGGGTGAAATTTCAACCACGGGATTATGTCATCAAGTTAACCAAATTTCAACATAGACAAACCATGTATCAAATATGTTGAATTTATACCTTTAAGACAACGTCAGATCTTCAACGTTATATCCACTATCAGAAGAAAAAAAACAATAGGCTGGGCAGCACCTCCTGGAGAATTGATCTATATACAGCTACCCTTTGGTCTCCCATCCAGGGTTTTAACCAAGCCCAGCTATGATATTTCTCACTGACTATTACCAATGTGCTATCGTGGGAATGACTGTTAAGAGATCTCCACTTAAAAACTAGATAGATTCACTGTTGCTGTTGAAGTCACTCCAAAGGGTATAGGT